CCTGGAGCTCACTTGGTAGCCCAGGCTGGCCTCGAACTCACAGAGATCCGCCTGGCTCTGCCTCCCGAGTGCTGGGATTATAGGTATACGAGTAGCTGCGCTCCCCTGCTAGAACCTCCAAACAAGCTCTCAAGGAAATGGTTGTTAAAGAGGCAGAGCTAAGTGTTCAATCTCCTTTATCATAATTCCTCTTAACAACTGTGTCCCCGGTCTAAAATTATTTGATTCTTGCCAAGAACTTATTTAGAGAAGCTGTAAAATTCAATATCATTTCATCAAAGCATATTGTCCTTTTCCCCATGATTTCTATTTTCTCTTATACCAAAGAAGAACTGGGTTCTTCAGGGGAAGCTAAGTGTTCTGTCCTAAACTAAACCTCAGTGGCTGAACAAATATCTATTTATCACTCAGGTTTGTCCACACGGGCTGTGGGGAAAGGCTGGCTTTGCTTCACAGGGTCACTTGAAATGTAGACAAAGGGATGCTTCCCTATCACAACATGATGCCTGGAAGAGGGAGATTAAAAGTCACATGCCACAACTTCAGTGGCTCAGACTAGAAGCAAACAGGTCTCTTGCACTTAGCTAAGAGTCAGAACTTAGTCAAGGTCCCACCTATGGAAGAGGAACTGTGAAGGAGTAGCACCTGACTATTTATTTAGTGAACAACAGGCAGCGCCCTCATAGGAACGAGGAACCCATCCATCTGAATTCCACGTGGTGATGCTGTTAAAGACTCGTGACTGCAGTGTGTGCTGTTTACCATTGCAATAAGGAGTTACATATTTTAAAACTCCAAATTAACTGTTTTACGTTATTCAGGTTTGCCCAGTAAAGCAAACTTCTACTCACAAATTAACCAGTTTGTTTTCTTGTTATTAAAAGGACTCTGCCCAGCTGAAGCATGGCAAACATGGCTCTGGCAGGCCTTGCCCTTCTCCCCGACCCCCTCTACCTTGCTAAAGGCCTTTAGATTACATTCCTAAAGCTAGCCACCAAGGTCTACTCCTTTATTCGGCCACTTCATCCTCCTCAGACTGACTACCAAAATCCAGCTATCCAAGTATTAAGTCCACAATCAAAAGCTCCCTTTGGTTCAACTAATTAGCATGCCCAATTAAAATTAAACACCTGATCCTAACATGAGGTTTCCTCTTGTAGCTTTATAAACTGCCATTTTCCTATGTGCCACGTCTGTCTCCTCTCTATCCAAAGGCAGTCCTTTGTCCTCTGGGACAAATATCCCTGCCCCCTTTCTCTTCCCCTTCTCCCTCATCCTCTATCCTCTGTCTTTGTCTCTTATTCCCTGCCCTTTGTCCCTCTGGGGAAAATAAATCTCCTTTGTGCTGAGAACTTGGTCTTGGAGGTCCTGAGCTGAAACTTTTCCTTTTAGTTATGCCTTGTGTCTTACTGATAATGAATTTGCCTTGTTCCTTCTTCCCCTTCCTGCAAGAAACAGTCTACCTTCTTTCCTACTCTATTCACTTGTTACTTCCCAGGATCTTTTTAGAAGCATCACAATCATAGCACACTCAGAGAAGAAATGCTCCTCACACTTGTCAGGATGTTGGCCCTGATTGGGATTGCCTTAGTCTCCTCCTTTCTCTTATTTTAATAGCAGAATCTGACACTGCTTAGGAGGTCCCATCATCCCTTTGTTCTTTCCTGATCATCTTCCATCCAGTACATTAGCTCTTGACTGATGATATACATTAGAATAGCCTTGCCAGCTTCTAAAATGTACTGAATCCAGGTTCTGGTTAGAGAGGAGGGCCTTCATATGTCTTCCTGAAAACCTTCGGAGAGATGTAGAAAAGATTTGTAAAGGAGGGAGCCCTGGAGAAGGATCTCCAAGATGAGAGCTGGGAACCAGATAAATATGGACAGTATTGCAGGTACTGTGGCTCTCATATGACCTATCTCCTCCAGTGGGTGCTGAGAGCTCAGGTCTGTTAATGGAAAATGACTTCCCAGGAACTTGCAGGGGGTGGGCACCAAATAGAGAGGAAAAGACTACAGGTATAGACAGCAGAGAGGGCTTTGATGAGCTTGGAAAGAGGTTAGCACATCCCTACTCACTCAATCTTTCTAATTGCTTGTGTGTGCACATATGTATTCAATGACATAGGTTAGAAATGTGCACAGATCCAAAGAGGAAAATAACCTAACTTGCTGTGACTTAAATGCAGGTTAGTCAGGCATGGGAGCACATGCCTGAAATCCCACCCTCAGGAGGCTCAGGTGGGTGGAGAATTGCTATGAGTTTCATTCCAGCCTTAGCTACATAGGTAAACTTTATCTAAAATAAAATGAAATAAAAATTTAAAAACAGAGGGTATATTAATCATATACAGAGATATACAGGTTTTTAATTTTTTTATATTATAATTCATCATTTCCTCCTTCCCATTCCACCCTGAAAACCTTCCCATATATCTCTCTTTGTTCTCATGACCTTTCCTCATTCATTGTTGTTACGTGTGTATGTATGTATATTCCTAAATACATAAATATAACCTACTCAGTCTCATAATGTTATTCCTATGCATGGCTTTCAGGGCTGACCACTTGGTATTGGATAACCAATTGGCATGCTCTTCTCTGGAGAAGACTATTTCTCCCATCGGCATTCCTTAGTGGCCTGTAGTTCTTTGTGCAGGATTGAGGCATTCAGGGCTTCCACCATGAGCATGTCAGTTGATGTTGTCCTTGATCAGTTCATATTTAAGCAGTCATGTTGGTGAGATTTTATGGGTTTAGCTTCCGGCATTTCCTAGGAGATATAATCTCAAAGAAAACTCCCTGTTCCTCTAGTTCTTACAATCTATCTGCCCACACTTTTTCAAGAATCCCTGACCCTTAGGATCTAGGGTTGCACTGAAGGTGTATCAGTTGAGACTGGGCTCCACATCTCTGGATTTATATTGGTTTTGGTTTTCTATAATGGTCTCCCTCTATTGCAAGGGGTGAGGACTATGCTTAGCAGTGTGTATAATGATAAACATTTAGAATGCAGTTAGGGATTATGTTGGTTTAGTAAAGTGGCAGTTAATAGATACTCCTCCAAGATTGGTTATCATGCCTTGGGTAATTGGCTAGGTTTTTTATATCAGGCATGATTTCCCTTTTGTTGACAGTCCAATCAGTGAGCTGTTGGTTACCACGAAGGAATGCATGCCACCATTGCATCCTTTGAGTTATTATGTAATGCTGGCCATTGATGTGGCTCATAGACATCATAGTTGAGTAGGACTGTTGCTTGTTTCCCTCTTTTGGAATCTTGCATGGTGCCTTCTTGTACCAGGAAAGCTAGTTCTCAAGTAGGAGGCTTTCTAATCAATTCCAGCTCAGGGGCTTCTGGGTCCTGTGTCATGTCTGAAATGCATTGTATCTTCACCAAATAGACTTACATTTCATCTCAGGGACAACAGCAGTAGCCTGTAATGTTTTGGGAGTCTCTTGGGCAACCATGACTAACAACTCAAATCAGGACTTCTCATACCTGGTGTTGAGGTTTTTGTTAGGGAATAATAGATGTATAGTTTTAATGTTTGGGCTTTACCCAAGCTGATTTAGATTTTTGAGGGTTGCTTGCAACAACTATCTGCTAACTAATGTGCCCCTAATTTTGTTTATCCTATCCTATGTCTCATTTCCCCATGGTCCCTGTCTGTTCTGTGTTATAATAAAAAATAATGATAATAATAATAATACATAAGGATGGGTAGTTTCTAATGAAAGCAGGTTTATTTAGCTCACAATTTGTATGGCTCAAGTGTCCAAACCAGCATGATGTCTGCATGCTAATAAGGTCCCCCTGGCTCTGTTATAAAATAACATAGAGTTAAAGGTGACCGGCACTATGCTGAAGGAGACATGTAAGCAAGGAGGCAGGAGAGTGGAAGGGGACAGATGTGCTGTTTTATGATATCCTTGTGGGAGCCCACAGAGGCTTCCTAGTGAGAACTTACTCAGGGTCAGAGAATTTGAGCTTGCTATACCCAGCAGGGCTGCATAAGGAGATGATTTGGGCACAGGCATGTTTACCAGGTGTTTTGAAGAGTCTACACTTGGCTGAATGGTGTGCTTTGATCTTGCAAGGGGGAGGTCTTTTGTCACTTCCCATTGCATATTATAAAAAGCCCTTTTCAATACACAAAGAGGCTGTTGGTTATTGACCCAGGGCCTCCTGGAGCTATTCTGTGTTTCTGTCTTTCTTCTTGTTGTCTAGGTCTCTCTTTCTATCTGATATTTTCTTATCCCCGTCTTCTCCACCTAAGAACCATTTGATAGGTGGGAAAAGGTGGGAGTTGGACTCCCACAGGCTCTCACATATCCTGCTCTTGTATGATTGGTGCACTGCTAAAAGACCCAAGTCACCCTAGAACAGTGTTCGTTCATTCAAGATGGATTTCTACTAGTAAACCCTAGGGAGCAAGTCAAAATAGAATACCCACCTTTGAGCTTTTATCCTAGTGAAAGAAGACAAATGTCTTCATTGTAAACAAAAGTTAATAATCTTGTTTGTGAGGGTCCCAAGAATTATACTGGGAAGGATTAAAGCTATGCTCAAGGTCATATATTGCCAAGACTTAAATATGGCTTATTGTTGTTTCAACTATGTGAGTTTGTCTTATTTAAGGTTCCAATTGCTATGAAGAGACACCATGACCACAGCAACTCTTATAAAGGAAAAGATTTAACTGGAATGGCTCTCTTACAGTTCAGAGGTTCAGTCCATCATCTTCATTGTGGAACATGGTGGCATGCAGATCAACATGGTGCTGGAGAAGTAGCTAAGAGTCCTACATCTTGCAGGCAACAAAAACTGGTCTCCAACACTGGGTGTGACTTGAGCATATATGACACCTCAAAGCCCAACTCCACAGTGACACACTTCCACCCTCCAACAAGGCTATACCCACTCCAACAAAGCCACACACACCTCCTAATAGTGCCACACCCTTTTGGGGACCATTTATTTCAAACCACCACAGTGTGTGGGGGGCACGGGTTCAGAGGCCAATGTTAGATGTCTTCCTCAGTTTATCTCCATCATAATTTTTGAGAGAGAGTCTCTCACTGAACCTAGAGCTCACTTATTAGCTAGCCTGGCTAACCATTTGGGCTCCAGGCATCCTCCTGTCTCTATACTCCAACATTGTGATTACAGACATGTGCTATCAGCACAGCCTCCTTTTAAATAGATGATAGGAATCTGAACTAAGTCCCTCGTGCTTATGTGGCAAGCACATTATCAAGTGATGTAGCTACAGTTTTTCTGGTCCTGCCTGGCCCAAGGTCAGGACAAATCTCTCTCACCCACTAGTCCCACAGCCATTCAGACCCAACGAAGTAAACACACAGAGACTTTTATATTGCTTACAAACTGTTATCTAGTTCTTCTTCTTAAATCAACCCATTTCTATTAATCTATAAGTTGCCACGTGGCTCGTGGCTTACCGGTATCTTAACATCTTCTGATGGTGGTGGCTGGCAGTGTCTCTCCACCTCAGCCTTCCACTTCCCAGAATTCTCTTCTCTGCTTGTCTTACCTATATTTCCTGCCTGGCTACTGGCCAATCAGCACTTTATTTACACAGAGTGATATCCACAGCAAAGTGAACTATCTCTTTAGCCCTATTTTAATGTTGTTTGAAAATATCTCTATGTAAAAGAAATACTGCCTCTATGTTAAGAGCTTTCACAGAAAACATTGTTAACTGTATCAGAGTTCTTAATTCTCAGCTACAAAGAGGCTTCCACCAGACTCTGGAATGAAACCAGACTCTGGAATGAAAGGTTCCTTTCTCTTCCCACATCCCCATATTTTTCTATCTTTCTGCCCTGTCTCATACCCATCACTGAAGGAAGGAGGCCACATGGAGAGCAACAAACCACAAACAGCATAAAGGAAACAGACCTCATCTTAACAGCCAGAGGGAACTGACTTTGGACAATAACTTCAATAAACTCATTCTGAAAGTGTCCAGAAAGTTTAGCAACCCTGCCAATACCTTATGAGTGAGGGAAACTTCTGGTGGAAGCCTCAACAAGGGTTGTTCTGACTTGCTAAGTTTGTGAACTATGTTACGGCAGTAATGGTAGACTGTACTATCTGGTAGTACAAAAAAAGGGTGAGCTGTGTCTAGGAGATAAAGAAGTAGATACCTATGCTTGAGGATAACAAGGAAACCTAAAGGACCCTGTGTCGAGTCTACAGTGGCAGCTGAAGTCCTTACCCAGCAGCATGAGTATTTCTGAAAACCAGGAAGGAAGACTGTTCCCTTCTATCTATGCATCCTCCCTATGAGAGGATGTTGTCATGGAGAGTTAGAATAAGGTGATCATTTTGAAGTGATTTGCAAAACACAAATGTATCAAGACACCCAACAATGAGCTTTCTGCCTAGTTGACAATTGCTAACTAGAAAAAAATTACTCTAATTAATGCCACACTAAATGTGAAATGCTTGAGTGAGGAGAGGAACAATTCTTCCCTGTGAATCAAGCTATCTCCCAATAAAAACATGTGAACATACAAAAATGCAAATATGTATACATACATGTATGTGTATATGTGTGTGTGTATTTCTGAAGGAATCTTTTTCAAATTGCAATGTATTTTCCTTTAAGATATATCTTTAAATAATGTAACCCAGATGCTGATGAGATAGATTATCAGTTAAGAATACTTGCTGCTCTTCAAAGGACTAGAGTTCAGCTCCCAGCACTTGTAATGGATGTCTCAAAACCACCTATAACTTCAGTTCCAAAGGATCTGATACCCTCTTCTGGGCTCCCCATGTGCCTCCATACATATGACATACACATAAATAAAAATAAAAAATAGTGTAGTCTCTTAAATGGTGTCTTTTCTTCCCAAAAGGCCATATTTAAAGCAAGATTAGTTTCCTAAATGGAGCAGTGTGGCATATATACCTTTAAAAGGTAGTATGAGGTTCTGCTCTATTCAGCTACCATGGCAACCCACTACTGACTGGGTGACTTGAGCAACACAAATGTGTTTTCTCACATATCTGGAGTCTCAGAGTCCAAGATGAGGACATTGACTGTTTTGGTTTCTCCTGAGACTACTCTGGATGGACATCTCATTTGGCCCCAAATGCATTTTTCTCCATGCACACACATTCCTCATCTGTCTCACTTTTTGTTGTTGTTGTTGTTGTTTGTTTGTTTTTTTTTCTTTTTCGAGACAGGGTTTCTCTGTGTAGCTTTGCGCCTTTCCTGGAACTCACTTGGTAGCCCAGGCTGGCCTCGAACTCACAGAGATCCACCTGGCTCTGCCTCCCAAGTACTGGGATTAAAGGCGTGCGCCACCACTGCCCGGCTCTGTCTCACTTTTTAATGAGGACTTCAGGAATAAGAGATTAGTGGCCCACACTTATAACTTAACTTCCATTGCCTCTCTGATACAGTCTTACTAGGGTTAACTCTTCAATATAAGAACATGGTGGGAACCAAAACTGTAGACAGCAGATTGATGTCATATACTGGTTACTTTAGTGAGGAAAAGCAGAGGTGCAATGGAACGAATTCTGTTTTCCATGACACATGGTTCCCTCTGGTCTCCTGGAATGCTGAATTGCTTCCTAGACAACCAAGGGCCAGTGAGAACATTTCATCAAAGCTCAGACATGGTGAGAAAGAATAATAAGCTATGGAATTTGCATGAAAGGAAATTGATATAGGTAGCAGGACGAGGGGTTAGACCAGGGCAGAAAAAAGCAATTTTATGGAAGCAAACTGTTTATCTCATAATTTCAGCAATATATCTTGAAAATTAGTATATGACCATATATAA